ATGTCCCTAAGCCCCTAAGCCCCTAAGCCCCTAAACCCTAAACCGTAAACCCTAAACCCTAAACCCTGGACCCTAAATCCTAAACCCTAAACCCTAAACCCCAAGCCCCTAAACCCTAAACCCTAAACCGCAAGGTTTGGTGTTTAAAAAGTTCAACAAAGGCCAGGCTCCGAAGGAACCCACTGCAATCGTGTGCCTAAATACTTCACTCTACCTAGGTTCCCCAGTAAAACCCTGTAAAATAAGGGTACCCTTTGTCCTAACATTCGGTTTTAATAGGGAAACCCTAGAACAAAAANNGGCAAAAGGGTACTACTGGTGACCCTAGATACCTCAAATAAGGGACTCTATTCTCGGCTAAACAGACTCCCAACGTTAAGGGTTCAGGGTTCAGGGTTTAGGGTTTAGGGTTTAGGGTTTAGGGTTCAGGGTTTGGATTTAGGGCTTAGGGTTCAAGGTTTGCGGGTTTTGGGGTTTGGGGTGTAGGGTCTAGGGAATGAACCCTGAACCCTACAGTTCCACAGCCCTAGAGCCCTAGACCCTAAAACCCTAAACCCTTAAAGCCCTAAACCCAAACTTCTAAACCCTAAGCCCTAAACCCCCAAAGCCCTTAAAGGAACCCTTGCAAGGACCTCAAAAGCTTCTAAACCCCCTAAACCCCCAAACCCCTAAACCCTAAACCCCCTAAACTAAACCCCCAAACCTGAAACCCTAAACTCTGGACCCCAAAATACATCCCTTTAAAGGAACCCTTGAAAGGTTCCTTTTAAAGGAACCTTGAAAGGACCCCAAAGGATTCAAGCAGTGGGGCCTTGGAGGCTCCGACGGCGCTCCGGTTCACTTCCGGAGGCCGCTCGGGGGTCGGAGCGTCCATGCCGAGGACCTGTTGGGGTTTAGGGGTTTAGGGGTTTAGGGTGTAGGGTTTAGGGTTTAGGGTTTAGGGTTTAGGGTCTAGGGTCTAGGGGTTTAGGGTTAAGGGTTCGTTTGAGGGATCCTTTTAAGGCCCCTGCGGCTGTTTAGGGCTTAGGTTGTTTAGGGTTTAGGGGTCCAGGGGTTTAGGCTGTTTAGGGGTTTTAGGTTGTTTAGGGTTCAGGGGTCTAGGGGTTTAGGGGTTTAGGGGTTTAGGCTGGGTTTAGGTTGTTTAGGGGTTTAGGGTGTAATGGTGTAGGGCTTTGGGTTTAGGGTGTAGGGCTTGCGGCTTAGGGCTTAGGGCTTAGGGCTTAGGGCTTAGGGCTTAGGGCTTAGGGCTTAGGGCTTAGGGCTTAGGGTTCAGGGTGTAGGGCTTAGAACTTAGGGTTTAAGGTTTAGGGTGCAGGGTTTAGGGTTTAGGATGTAGGGTATAGAGTTTACGGTTCAGGGTTTAGGATTTAGAGTGTAGCGTTTAAGGTTTAGGGTGTAGGGTTTAGGGTTTAGGGTGGTTCAGGGTTTGGGGTTTAGGGTTGAGGGTTTTGGTTTCTTTTAAAGGATGTCTAAGGGCTCTATAAGGGCTCTTTCGGAGTTTAGGGCTTAGTCTGCTTTTGCCTTTCTGGGGTTTGGGGGCTGTAGGGCTTGTAGGGCTTATGTGGCTTAATTTTAGGCCTACTTCAGCAGGTTCCTGTTGGAGGGGATCTGCAAGGGTTCCCGTCGGGTTTCCCCCTTTTTGGGGGGGATATAAGGCTTAGGGCTGAAAGGGTTGAGGTCCTGTAAGGGCTCCTTAGACAGATCTCTGGGGTTCTTTAGCTGTAACCGTTGAAAGCCCCCCCGGCTTGGCCTGTGGGGTTCGCAGGTAGGGTTTAAGGTTGAAGAGCGCCCTCCTTAGGCCCGGATGTCGTCTGCTGCGGCTGCCGCAGGTCAAAGCTTTCGCGGCCGAGAAGCCGCGGGTCTAGGGTTTAGGGCTTGCCGTCCATTGGAGGCAACAGTCTGGACTCAAGATTAAGCCTTTCGTCACAACAGGAACCTGTGTATGATGATCTCCAGACCCCCCACCCCCATCCCAGCGGTGTCAGCATCGCCCCAAGCTCGGTCTTCTTCTCTTCGTCATCGAGCCTCCGCTCGATCTCTTGGGAAAGAAGATGGTGCCGCGAACCTTGGGCCATCCGAGTTTCGGCAATCTGACATCATCTTCCCCCTTTCCTTTTCCAACATGCCCTTTGTGCAGAACCTATGTCAAGACATCTTGTCCGGAAGCAGATATCAAGGACGAGGGCAAGGACCAAGTTGATCCTCAGAATGGCAACGACACCTGCAGGCGGGAATACCAATCGCTCAATCATGCTCTTGAGAGCAGTGCCCGGATGGTACTATTCGGATACTACCAGGACATGTTAAGGGTACTATAGCAGTACGGCTACTACTTGGGTTTGTATTGATATACATTCTTTGGGTACTATGAGGTTATTCTTCGAACCCTAAACCCTAAACCCTAAACCCTGCTTGGGTTGGTAATAATATACAACTTTTGGGTGCTATGAGGTTACTCGAAGAAAACACGATATAGCAAGCCTTGCAGGCCTTCACATCCTCCAAACCTGGAAAGTTCTAAACCCA